GCCTTATATAGCCGCAGTAGATAGTGTTCAGGTCTGCAATCGGTACTCTTGAACGGCGTAGCCTGCAGTACCGTGGCCGACAAGAACAAAATTTTACACCGCAACTTTTGGTGTTTTACACCGCAACTTTTGGTGTTTTACACTGCAACTTTGGGTGTTTTACACTGCAACTTTGGGTGTTTTACACTGCAACTTTTGCTGTGTTTTACACTGCAACTTTTGCTGTGTTTTACACTGCAACTTTTGGTGTTTTACACTGCAACTTTTGCTGTGTTTTACACTGCAACTTTTGCTGTGTGGAAAACTTACACCCCTCCCCTTTTATAATGGACGGTCCCCCTGTCAGGTTAAAGGTGACAACGATGGCATGCAAACTACGTCGACTGAGTTATCCTTTTCGTGCATAAGTTTTTTAGAGGAAAAGCTTGGCTACGTTGTGACGTTAGTTTTCTAAAGGTTTTTCTAGCTTTGGCCTATAGATCGGGATAAATTTAAAAATGTTTCGATCAGGTCCAATGATTACAAATTATGTTGCTATCTAGTGAATGTTGGTAACGTTTGCACCGCTACGTGTTGATGTCGACGCATGGTATGATAGAAATGATGTCTGTCTGAAGGCGTAAATATGTAATTAGCTTAAACTATCGTGGCATGATGTCATAAACGCTTGCATGCGGCGATATTCGTCTTCCACGTTTCCCCGCCTTTGAGTCACGTGACATTTTCTAGCTAGAGAATTCGGACTCGCAAGGTCGCTAATAATTTGATGAGTAAATATTGGGCCTATGGGAGTCACATGTGGCACCACTTGGTACTATGAAGCAATAAAGACTTATTTTCAATTATGAAGTGTTGACTCTTGACTCAGGTAAGTTATCGATCATTAGGGAACAATACGAGCGATCGCCATGACGTCACCGTAGGCAAAAAGTGGGTGCCAGTTGGCTGATTTGCCTACCAAGAATTTGCATATGTCTTCAAATAATTTGCATGCGTATAATGTAAACAAAAACAGCGATCGCTCGTATACAAATGTAGACACTGTGACTCTCAGGACGCCGCCATCTTTGTCACCTTTGACCTGACAGGGGGACCGTCCATTATAAAAGGGGAGGGGTGTAAGTTTTCCACACAGCAAAAGTTGCAGTATAAAACACAGCAAAAGTTGCAGTGTAAAAACGGCAAAGTTGCAGTGTAAAACACCCAAAGTTGCAGTGTAAAACACCAAAAGTTGCAGTGTAAAACACCAAAAGTTGCGGTGTAAAACACCAAAAGTTGCGGTGTAAAATTTTGTTCTTGTCGGCCACGGTACTGCAGACCCTAGCTGGGCATAGATGAGTTAGTTTGCAATTTTGGAAGGAAGTTGAGTTACTGTAGTATATTTGAGTAGTAAATTATGTATTCAACATTAATGACTCCATGAATTTGTGGGTGAAAATTCTGGTTCTAAAGGTGCACACTCCACACGCACGCACACATATACATACATACACACACTGTGCTGACAAACATGTCAACTGTAACCGTAACCGGCCGTCATGCTTCTGGATCCGACAGGCTTGCAATTTTTTATTTATTGAACGTAATACATGGAGCTATTCCAATTCAATAACCTAACACAGACGGCACGTAGACATGGTGATGTAATGGGGCGCTTTACTGGCTGGCTTCATACATGTACCTTAGGAAACATTGAAAGTGAGTTCTTATCATTCTAACTTATAACACAGTATATTTTAAAACACAATAATGAGTAAAATTAACGGGGTCTAGTAGCGCGGCAGATGGGGCAGCCACACGACAGCACCCAGGATCTACACAACTTGAGAAAGCTTATCTTGATAATTGGTAGGTGGGTAGGTCTTGATGAGACCTGGAAATGATGAGATTTTGGACCCCCTAGCGGCTTGTTATGGTACTGCAGCTGAAATTCCGGTTTTGATATCTCATCTACACATGCTGGGGTGACGACATTTGGATGGTAGGTAGCTCTTTTGCTGGGGAAGAAGTGGCGTGAGTTTGGGCCCCCTAGCGGCTTGCTCAGGAACTGCAGGGCTATATCTGTTTGAAAATATTCAAAAGAGGATAACTCAAGAACCGGTGGAAGGATTGTCGTAATTTTTGCTATGTAGGTAGCTTACGTGATGCTTGGTATAATTATGTGGCAATTATGCAAATATGGATGTAATTTGCATAATTAATGGAGAAATTCTATTAATCAGCTGCATTACATGATAGGACTATTCGGGCTTGTGACATGTAATTGAGAACGAGAGAAACACAGGCAGATATTGATTATGTAAATTAACACTTAATGTGCATAATTAATGAGAAAATGTAATAATTCCATAATGCTAACTGCCTGTAATTTTATACTTGGGGTTGCTGGTGTCTTTTCCAAATTTAAAGTGACCAGTGTTACTACAGTAACGTACGGACTTCCCACGACGCCCTTTTCCGAACTTGATCTTCCTATCGTCAACGGTAACTTGCTCAGCAAAAATGTGAACATCCATTTGCAGATTCACGAATCATCCCCCTCTGTCACTGAGATGCTTAGTAACCTGGGATGGCAATCACTCCAACACCGCCGAAAAATGGCCAGGCTAACTACAATTGTTATATATGCTGGATGCTGCTATAGAGATGACTACACTCGACCACGGCTTGGGCCAGACTGATGTGCAGGGACAGAGGTCCCTGTCCTTTATTGATACCAGATGTGACACCACATGTGTACAAGTCCTACCCCCTACACTGGCCCCCCTTCACAAAAGGTGTCGTCCTCGACACATATATACTGAGGGGCAGAAAAACAAAAACAACTAAAAAACAACTGACAGCAAACTACATCAAACAATTGCTACAGTGGCTAACCGCTAATCTATAACTAAAAATGTTACCGCTGTAATAATAATGGCCACCGGAAAAACAACAATGATAATGGGTTTGAAATTGGGTCCATAAAGTAACAGGATGCTATTAATTAACTTGGCCGACAAAAAGCAGATGTGCACATGGTCTTTGGAATTTGATGGTAAGGGTAAGACGGACCGCTGCTATACAGTACATTTGGAGCACAATAATGGACGAACAACAGGCATAACAGTAACGATTCACATACAAAACAGCACCTTTGAACTTGCACAGCGGCAAAGTTCGCATTTCCTCGAGTACTCCCAAGCGTGGGGCAGTACGGGGACTTCCGGACCGTCACACAAGGACAGTGTGATCCGGGAACGCAAAATACATGATCTTCCTAGCAGAGTCGTCCCGTAGGCTAGCGTTTCTACTAGGCAAGCATCGTTCGCAACAAACACAAAAATACAAAGGCTAATACATGATCTTCCTAGCAGGGTCGTCCCGTAGGCAAGCATTTCTACTAGGCAAGCATCATTTGCAAGTAACACAAAGATACACAGGCTCAAGGCGGCTTGGTCGCTTCCCGTAGGCGGACGATCAAGGGCATACATAGCAAACAAAACATGATTGTGCAACAAGTCAACACCACAAGAGTTCATAGGTCTTAGAAAGTTCTGTGGGTAGAGATACAGTACTCAGAGTTCGCAGCAAAGATCAAGCAGGTCACGTCATGTTAGAAAGTATTCATGATGGGGTCGGTCGTCTGCTACACGAGGGCTGCCTGGAGTCGGCGGGCTGGATTCCGCGGGCGGTCGGGACGCGGCGACGTGGCATGGTCTGCTTCAGCTGGAAGACAACGGCGTGGTGCCAGGACAATCTGGGGCAGGACTGCATGGCTGAGACAAATGCAAAGTTCACTGCAGGCTTGGTTCACAGGATCAAGGCTGGGTAGGACGGGGGTTGTGGCACGAAGCGACAGCGTGTGGCCGGACACGGAGCGGCGGTCTGGTGTGTCGGGCGGCATGGCGGCTGGCTGTCAGGGGTCGAGTCGGTGTGGCCGGGTAGCAGGCGGGTAGCAGGCTGGCAGCATGGTAGCGATGGCGGCGGTCGAGTGCTGCTCAGCCGGGGCTGTTGGCTAGTCGGGCGGCATCGTCGGGATGGCGTGGGTTGAGCGCTCGAAAGCGCTATACGCTGCCACCAGTGTTATATATGCTGGATGCTGCTATAGAGATGACCGACCACACCAGACCACAGCTTGGGCCAGACTGATGTGCAGGGACAGAGGTCCCTGTCCTTTATTGATACCAGATGTGACACCACATGTGTACAAGTCCTACCCCCTACACAATGTTTAAAGTCCTGCACAACACCATCTCTGTCCCCCACACCTCGTGTCTTGTCCCGGCAGCTCGATGCTCCCGCCGCACTAATCACGCTTTAAAGCTGCAGACCATCGCGAGTAAGAACAACTATTACAGGCTCTCGTTCTTCCCTCGCACCATCAAGGAGTGGAATGAACTTTAGCCCAGTGTGGCGGAGGCGAAGTCCATCTCCCAGTTCAAAGCAGAGCTGGGACGGGCTTCGCTGCATTGAGTTGTCTCCCTGTCCTTGTACATATGTAAATATGTGTTAACTAGCACCACTAACTTCACTTGTCCTGTCTTGTACTTGTCTACGTCTACCCCTACCCTACCCTTTGTTTGCACTTTGCACACAATGCGCAACTGCTAATAATCCTCTCTTTAGAGGGATCAGCATTAACAGAGATGATGACAACAATAACGACCACCACAAAAGGTCAAATTCAATGACATGGGAACCCCCCACGAGGCCCATATCCGAACTTGACCTCCGTATTCTCAACGGCGACTTGCCCACTGAAAATCATAGACAACCACTTACGGATTCTGACGAACAACAAAAAACACAAACACAACCTGCCTGCGCCAAAAATCGTGAACCACGGACCATGCCTTCAAACTTTATCGTGCATAATCTGCAAAACAGTGCAAAAACGATTTCATAGCCTTCTGTCGAAGGCAATAAGCTACATATAAGATTACCTCGCTACAACTAGCGCATAACAGCTACATCTAGCGATTTCGTACTAAACTGCACAGTGAGCTGCCTGGAGACGTGGCTATGCTAGTGGTCAAAGGTCGTACTGTAGTGGTTCGACTCGTGCTCAGAACTACAGGTGACCAGGCCAGGTGCTTCCGTAGTCCAGACGAATGCTCGGACTGGTACAGAGACATTGCAGACAGCTGCAGCCGGGTTTACAGCACGTTTTATTTGGCGTTTTGCTGAGCAGATTGTGCTCTATAAAGGTATGTAACGTTACATGTAGTTATAATATATCCACATGTGTTTTAACTTGTAAATATTGACCGTGACTATGCACTTTTACGAATAGGTCTAGCAGGGAATGGATCTATACGTGCCGGTACCGGTGTCACAATTTTTCCCCAACATTCAGATGAAGTAACAGAAAGCAAGCATTTGCAAGGGAATTATAATATTTTCCGTCTTGTCCATATTACTGCATACGTGCTGAATCCAGGCCGTGTAGCAGTGCCCCCTAGTATGGAAAGAAATATTGCAGTTGATTACAGAAAATGCATTTATATAGGTTATACAATAACCGTTTGATGTTAGTCTTGTTATCAACCCTAGATCATTAGTGGTAACATTATCTTTTGAGAGTAACGTTAAATCCGTCAAGAAATTTCTTTCTAGTACGTACCAATTTCTTTGAAATGAAATTGATGTTATCATTGTTTTGATCTCAATATAAAAAGTTGTATTATGAAGCATGTTTTATATGCAATTTCCAACACAAGACATCTACTTGTCTAATGACAATTTTCAACTGTACAACTATGCTTTGAAGAAGTGAGCAATCCACCACTTTTGACATGATACAGATGACACACGTCTGTGATCAGTGGTTCCAGAAAGTCTGTGGCGCCCCCCGTCATTGTTGAGGAATGGATATATTGCTCTAATGTAACTGGCCTCTTTAATAATAGATGTAGCCTGCACTAGGCTTCAAGAAGCAGCTGGAAAGAGCAGAAATTGGCCAAATACAAATAACATAACAGGGGGGTTGGTTTCGGTTGTTGAACAGTCTGCTGCTGGAACTGACTTCTACATGTACAATTATGTACCAACACAGATAAAACCAGATAGTGAGTGTGAGATGAACTTTCAAGATAAAAAATTGATTTGTTTCAGGCCCAGGCCAATTATTGAGTGACATGATTACTGTAATACAGTTTGCTGCTTCAACTGACTTCTAGGAACACAGATGAATTTCTACAGAATGTAATTGTAAAAGTTGTAATTGTTTCAGGCCCAGGCCATGAGTGACATGCAGGCAGTGGTGCTGCAGCAGCCAGGGGGACCAGATAACCTGTCTGTGGGGACAGTGGCCAAACCTCGACCTCAGTCTGGGGAGGTGTTACTGAAGGTGTACGCTACAGCAGTCAACAGGGCAGACACCCTGCAGGTGAGTGTGTGAGTGTGTGTGTGTGTGTGTTTGTGTGTCTGTCTGTCTGTGTGTGTGTGTGTGTGTGTGTGTGTGTGTGTGTGGGTGTGTGTGTGTGTGTGCAGGTGTGTGTGCGTGCGTGTGTGTGCAGGTGTGTGTGCGTGCGTGCGTGTGTGTGTGTGTGTGTGTGTGTGTGTGTGTGTGTGTGTGTGTGTGTGTGTGTGTGTGTGTGTGTCTCTGTGTGTGTGTGTCTCTGTGTGCGCGCGCGCGCGCGTGTGTGTGTGTGTGTATCTGACCTTGTGTGTCTGTATCTGTCTGTGTGTGTGTGTGTGTGTGTGTGTGTGTGTGTGTGTGTGTGCATGTATGCGTGCGTGTGTGTGTTCTTACCTGTCACTCTGGTCTTCCCCAGTAGACTGACTCAGTGAGACTTGTTTTTTCCCTTGGTCCTTATTTTGTGACAGTCCTTTCCTGACAGCATGTTGTGGTTCTTGTATCCTTCAGAGAAAAGGCTTGTACCCAGCGCCGAAGGGAGCGAGTGACATTCTTGGCCTGGAGGCTGCAGGGAAAGTGGCTGAACTTGGAGCCGACTGCAAAGGGCGCTGGAAACCAGGAGACCAGGTGATGGCACTGCTACCAGGTAGGCAAACTGCTACATGCACTTTTATAAGCAAATCAGCAGAACTGCGTGAAACCCGTAATGTATTGTGTATAGCACTTCGACGGAACCTCTCATATAAAAATGGTCCTATTTGAGCATATAAGGTTAACATCCCATCTGTAGTTTCCAAAATGTGGTGTTGGAAAAGATATTGTCTGCAACAGGCAAATGCTGATGCAACGGTGACCAAACATCCAGCAAAAACTGAAACATCTTGGTTTCATGCAGGCACAGTACGTTCTGCCGACATGCTATTTTTATAGTACAATGTATCAGTGGCTGTAGCCAGCATCCGTTTTCCATCAATTGCAGATTGAAACTTTGTGGTGTGTGACAGAAATTTTTCAAACGATCTGTCAACATTTATCGGACAAAATAGACAAAAATTTTGGGTAAAAACATAAAAACATCCAAAGGACCACCAACTCTCAATTACATCATTTGCCACCAAAAATGTGGGACATTGTGCTTGGAAATCTAAAATTTGCTCCCGAAAACCCACCACCACCACCTATATGTAGATAGTGAGCACTTCTCCCCCAGGTCCGATCATGAACCTTGGCTGACGAAAGAAATTTTTGAGCTGGCTAGAGCCCTGCAATGTACTAAGCAATAGGGGGCTTTATATCATACCTGGGCCGCGATAACGTTCGATAACGGGTTCCGGACCGGGCCGTACTTTACGGTACGGCCCGGTCCAGAACCCGTTATCGAATGCTTCCATGGCTTCCATAAAACGATTCGAACGCGTTTCGCCCTAACAGCTTGTGCCCCTTTCGAAAATTCGAATACAGAATCCGGACGTTGGAACTGATGTTGTTGCATTTGAGGGTTTAGGGGCACCAACCTTTGGCTCATATTGCATTGAAAGGCGCGTTTTCTTGGGTGGGTATGATATAAATAAAATACAACACGGTGTATTCCGCATCGCCCTCGGGCCGATACCTCGGGCGATACGGAATATACCGTGTTGTATTCTATATTTACGTATTAACCCGACTAAAGCCTCTGGCTTGTATAGTACTTAGTAGTCATCCTGCAGCTGTGTGTCCATGCAGGAGGAGGAAATGCAGAGTTTGTGGCGGTTGATGAGGACCACCTGATGCCCATACCTGCCGGGATGTCTTACCAGCAGGCAGCAGCCATCCCAGAGGTCTGGCTTACCGCCTACCAACTGCTACACTTCGTGGGTAAGAATAAACCCGAAATTGGGTTGGCGGAAAAACCTGTCCAGTCCAGGAGTTGGAAAGACCTGTACAGTAAAAAAAAAGGGTCCACAAAGGGGTTTCTGACAATGCTAATATGCCCCATGGAGACCCTTATATAAAACTGGACAGGATTTTATTTTATTTCAACCTTCTGGACTGGAAATTTTTTTCCGCCAACCCTAAAAAAATAGCATCTTCTCTTTGATCAGTCCCAGGTCATGTACCATACTGCTATAAAATATTTTGAGTAGCGTTTAATACTTTCCACTGAATTGCAAAAGACTAGATTTTTTAATTTATGATCCTCTTAAAACATTGCTTTGACATTTTGAAGGTTAGTTTGCAGCAGCACGTGTTTGTACTTGACAACCTTAACAATCCTCATTGACAACTTCTTGGGCAGACACTACATTTGCATTGCGCAATTAGGAGGCCTCAAAATGGGAACACAATTGTAGTGCCTTTGAAAATCCTTTTTTCTCTTGAAAGTTTTGGTCCATTTTGGGGATTTTTGGGCTGGAAGGCACAAGTAGGGTCTAAACTTTCCTACTTTGGTCAAGTTTTGTTTATTTCACCAGTTTAGTGGGCGTAGTGAGAGATGTGAGTGGTTTAGGTCTTGTCTGGCCAGGCAGATGGATACCATGGAAAAATAGGTCAAAGTTGAGGTTTTGTTACTATCATCAACTGTGGCAGGAATTTGACCTGGTCGACCCCCTGTATCCTTTCTATATTAGGGAATCAGACCCTTGTGGCTACCTGGTGCAGCAAAATTTTTGAGATTGAAGTATGGGCAAGTACTTTCATGAGGACTTCTAATAGTGTATTTAAGCATGTGTTCCTATGGCCAAATCTACATGTAATAGTACTGTTTGCCCTCTTGTTTCACTGTACTTGTTAGGTGGGTTACAGGAAGGGGAGACAGTTCTGATCCATGCTGGGGGTAGCGGGGTGGGCACGGCCGCCACACAACTGTCCCGACTGGCAGGCGCTCGACCAATCGTAACGGCTGGCACTCCAGACAAACTACAGAAGGCCAAAGACCTCGGGGCCGTCGCTGCCTTTAACTACAAGGAGGGAGAGTTTGCACAGAAAGTCCTGGATGAAACAAACGGTAAATGTTGGGTGTTCCCAAAAACCAACATACTCTACATTGTGTTGTAAGCCAGGAATTGTTTCAATATTACAATCCTGTAACTTCATATTATTGCAATATCTGTATCTAATATACTGACAGTCATATCGGGTATTTCGCAAAGGGTGCAAGGCAGAAAAATTATACTATAGTGTTTAAACTTTTTAGACCCAACAAATTTCTAGCTTTCAGAGCATGACATCCTTTATCTACAATGTATAACACACTGGATAAACCATTTGCATACTGATTCACTATTGGTTTTGGGGTTAGGTAGCAGTGAGAAGTGCATAATATATGACAGTGACCCAATAGGAAAGAATAAATTATTACTAATACCTTCTGTTTGTTTCCATAGGGAAGGGAGTGGATGTTATATTGGACTGTGTTGGTGCTTCATTCTGGCAGCAGAATGCCAGGTAATGTCACACTCACAGTGCTTGCTAGTACTATGTAGCTTTCGAAAATCCAGTTTTGCCACCCTGAAATTGCATTGGATACCTTTACCGACCAAGACTAGGTGTTGTTGCATGTGTATAGCTGTGGAAGGCAGGTGGGTTCTGTATGTGTGACGCCCCTGGACTTAAAGAACAGGTGTTGTTGCAGGTGTATAGCTGTGGAAGGTAGGTGGGTTCTGTATGTGTGACGCCCCTGGACTTAAAGACAGGTGTGTTGCAGGTGTATAGCTGTGGAAGGTAGGTGGGTTCTGTATGTGTGACGCCCCTGGACTTAAAGAACAGGTGTTGTTGCAGGTGTATAGCTGTGGAAGGCAGGTGGGTTTTGTATGTGTGACGCCCCTGGACTTAAAGAACAGGTGTTGTTGCAGGTGTATAGCTGTGGAAGGCAGGTGGGTTTTGTATGTGTGACGCCCCTGGACTTAAAGAACAGGTGTTGTTGCAGGTGTATAAGGCTGTGGAAGGCAGGTGGGTACATGTACATGTACATGTGAGTTTTAAAGAAGAGATGTTGTTGCAGGTGTTTGGCATTGGAAGGCAGGTGGGTTCTGTACGGACTGTTAGGAGGAGGAAGCATCGATGGAGACCTTCTCACCCAGGTTCTTAGGAAACGTATCAACCTGCTGGGAACAACTCTAAGGGCTAGGAGCAAACAGGTCAGTCCTACAGGAAAGTTATCTCCAAGCAGATCCCTCTCCGTGGCAAAAAGACAGACTGAGTATCAAATTGGCCAGGCAGTATCAATTAGCCAGAGAAGCTCGGCAGCCACCGACGGGTGGGAGTAGCGAAAAAAAAAAAACGGCCATATATAAAATTAACTTAAAGGTAACAATCATTTCCTCACAACCTATGCTTGGAGAGTACAGGAAAGTGTTTCACTTTACTGTTCTTTCTTTGACACATTACCTGCAATTACCCTTCAAGCATGATTTTTGCACATAAGGCCACACTGATTTGATTGGTTGGTTGGTTGTCAGATTTTTATTCAGAAAAAAAAAATAAAAACAGACCTAGTCATAGCTCCAAATGCTTTGAAGAGAAGGAACTTTCTTCAACAGTTGGGGCCAAAATATGAGCATTTTGGAGTTGATTTTGAGACTGAAGTGTTTGTTTTTTCAACAAATCAGAAAAACTGAAGCAGGCAAATTTAACCAACGAATTAAATTTCCATTGCCTTAAGCTGTCATTATTGTCATGTACATGATTGTGTATGGTTTATTTCATTAATTTTGTTGTTATCCAGTACAAAGCATCCTTGGTGAAGGCATTCTCTGAGCAAGCGCTGCCTCACTTTGTCTCCTCCGGACCGGTAGAGCTGACACCCATCATTGACAGGGTAGTCCCACTGCAGGACATCGCCCAGGCTCACAGGTGCATGGAGGACAACAAGAACACTGGCAAGATTGTTCTGTCTGTCAGGGAAGACGATCGCGATGAGCTGTAAGAAATAGCAGCATGGAATCACTCCATTCAACTTATGATCATAAAAGAGAATTGTTCATATATATTAATTGTCAAAATTATTAATAAAAATATGTCTTCCAGGAACTGCGATGTAAATGAAGACCTAATACTAATAGATGTAAACTTGTTCATGCTTTACTTGTTTCAAAAAGAGAGATCTTGTAGATATAGACGTACCATAACATATGTATAGTACTTGTTCCTCCCACCCTTATACCTCCTACCCTTATACCTAGTTTCTAAAATTTAAGGTACAATTAGTTTGAATACAGAATGCTAAGAAGAGAAGTGATTATGATCACAAAACAAGCAGTAAGGAGAAAGAGGTGATTATTTTTTGACAGGGCCTGACTGAAATTTTCATGATAATCAGCCAGGGTTTGCATGTACAAAATGTACAATGTTGTAGTTCATCCTTTTCAAACAATGTCTTAATTAAAGGTAAGAAATTATTCCTACTTTTGTTTGGACTACGGGTATTTTAGCTGGGTATGTAAAGTACAAAATTTTGAAGCTGATTATGTTATAAGGTGTAGTGTTTGAATAATTGTATTGGGGCAATAAAGACTTTCTTCTTTTTATCCATGATACTTGATGTGGCTTTCTTAATTAGGCAGTTGTATGGAGTCACGTCAATAAATACAATCGTGTACACGCACACACACACTCACACAAACACACACACACAGAGTCAGTCATCACTTCTTATCCTTTAGACATTAAAAGTGCCTACATTAACTAAGTAATGGATGACAAGGTGTCAGACACTTTCCATGTATCATTCTGAAATCATCATGTGTTTGCAAAATTAATAGAAATCCATATTCTAGTGATTCTATTCTATATAGACCTTGCACATTTACAAAAACTGTGTGAGGATGCAGGCTGCAGACCAGAAGACCTGCCCAGGGCCATGGAGGATAGGGAGGGCTGGCGGAAAAGAGTCACGAGCATCCGTGAAACCCTCACGACCAGATGATGATATTCTAGTATCCTAACTGTACTTTCATTCTTTCCTATCAACAATTAGTCCAACAGAACTGGAGTCTTCCTTCTGCTGATATGAAGTATACAGCTACATAAAATTGTTTCAAAAGCACCAGGAGATGGTAATAATGATCTCAATCAAAGGGTTAACATTAACATGTAACTGACAAAATAAAGTCTCTTCCGATCAAACAAATTTTGAAATTAAAGGAACCATCTGACTCTGATGCCTGCGGCTTGATTGATTGATTGATCTGACCTATGTACAAATATAAGCTATTATGTTGTTACCTCATCAGTTTGTACTAACTTGTATTATCAGGTGTTTGAATATCAAATTTAGAGATCTTTGGCCTCAACAACACTAATGATTGTCATCATAGTTTTCAGTATATAAAAGTAGTTAGTAGAACATGACATTTTGCTACCAGTCTTTTTGTATGCCACAAGAATTTTACTAGTATCTCTACCTGTACTGTATTATACTAAATTATACAATACAAAATGCCTAAAAAATCTTCATTTTTGTTTGTTTATAAAATGTCAAATTGGCTAGTTCAGTTTTTGTTTCTTCCATACTACTATTGGCTGTGATTTTGCATGGCTATGGCATGTAACTGGCCTGCATTATATTATTAGGATTTTCTTGCAATATCCAAACAATTATTTCTTAAATTTTTTCTATATTTCACTTTTCTAGCCAATGTCATAAAAGAAACATTTTGGACTAGTGATATTATTCCACAATTGAAGCATTGTTTTTGTGCCTTCACATGCCTTTTTTTTCTGCAATTTTCCTTTCAAAATATCAACAGTATTGTACAGTATCTTGCAATGTCTTAATTAGTAATACTTTTATTAAAAGTTAAACCTAATTGCTCTCTTCTGACATTTGGTCCATTATTAAAAAAACGAAGCATGAAGCCCTCATAGTACAGTACTGCAATCTGTAAGGCCACACCTACTTAGTTTTATGGATGATATCCGCACGCGCATTGATTTTCGCCTGTTCTAAAAAAAAAAATGATAACGTCCTCCGAGGCTCTCGCTTGCCTCTAGGCCTTGGTAGTCCATGATAGTTAGTGACAATATGGAGTCGGTGGTAACTCTGGAGGATGGCACCCAGGCTACCAAAGCTCTACGACTCAAGAACTCAGTACATACGATTCATAAATTCTGCAAAAAAGCCAGCATGTGCCGGCTTGTCGTATACCTCGCTATGTACTGCCGTAAATTCATAGCCTGGTATCCAGCCGTGTTAGCTTTAGTCCGCTTCCCAAGATCCGCTCCCCGTTGGCGGGCTAACAAGGCTGGATACCAGGCTAGTAAATTCACAATACCAGCTTAAGTTAACGTTGTATTCCTTTTTTTTAGTAGCATTTTTATTTTTGGCCGGAATTTTTTTTATTCGCCCGCGCGCACTAGTCTGGGGGTCTTCAGAGGATGTCATCCATAAAATTAAGTCGGTGTTGCCTAATAGTTTATAAAGGTTCATTTTGACATCTAGTCACCCTCTTGTGATTTCTGAACTGTTGCACTCTCCTCTTTGGCCTTTGACATACTTTCCACATCATCTGACTGATTCTGCAATGGAAGACAAACCCCTTCTACATTTTCATCAGTTGCTTCCTGAGATTCTGTTCCCCCTCCAACATTTTCCTCCAATTCTGTTGCTTCTAAGGCACTTTCAACTTCTTCAACCGTCGTTTCCTCTTCTTTGCTGACATCTTCATTCTTCTTGTCGAACTCACTTGAGTTGTTGGCTTCCCTTGCACCGAGCTCTGCTCTTTCCACAATTAAGAATTCAGTTTGTGATTTTGTCACCCCTTGCTGCGGTTTGTCCTGCAGTTCCGCCAACTCTGGCGCTGTGGCGCTCCTGCGCAGACCGGTGACTCCGTGCCTCTTGCTGCTGTCTAAGGCGACGGTGGCCAGGTCCCACTTGTCGGCAACTCGACACTCTTTGGTCTTCACCCCGACGGCCTTCAGGATGGTGTCCATCTGGTTCATGTAGTCCATGTGGCCGTTCACCTGGAAGTAAAATAAAAGAAAATGGGGATTAGTTGTTAGTAGGACACAATCTAACATTATTATACAGCCTGGGAAGCAGTGCAGAACAGAAGCATGTGGAGGACTGTTTGAGTGAGTTTGGGTGAGTGAGTGAGTGAGTGAGTGAGTGAGTGAGTGAGTGAGTGAGTGAGTGAGTGAGTGAGTGAGTGAGTGAGTGAGTGAGTGAGAGTGAGAGTGAGTGAGTGAATGAAAGTAAATGAGTGAGTGAAAGTGAGTAAATAAATGAATTCAAACTGAGAGGGAGTGAGTGAAAGAAGGTGAGTGAGTGAGTGTGAATGAGTGAATGAAAGTGAATGAGTGAGTGAATGAAAGTGAGTAAATGAATGAAAGTGAGAGTGAGTAAGTGAGTGAAAGAAGAGTGAGTGAGTGAGTGAATGAAAGTGAATGAGTGAATGAAAGTGAGTAAATGAATGAAAGTGAGAGTGAGTAAGTGAGTGAGTGAGAGAGTGAGTGAGTGAATGAAAGTAAATGAGTGAGTGAATGAAAGTGAGTAAATAAATGAATTCAAAGTGAGAGGTAGTGAGTGAAAGAAGGTGAGTGAGTGAATGTGAGTGAGTGAATGAGTGAATGAAAGTAAATGAGTGAGTGAGTGAATGAAAGTGAGTAAATAAATCAATTCAAAGTGAGAGGGAGTGAGTGAAAGAAGGTGAGTGAGTGTGAGTGAATGAAAGTGAATGAGTGAGTGAATGAAAGTGAGTAAATGAATGAAAGTGAGAGTGAGTGAGTGAAAGAAGAGTGAGTGTGAGTGAGTGAAAGAAGAGTGAGTGAATGAGTGAGTGAGTGAGTGAGTGAAAGAAAGTGAGTGAGAGAATGTTTTACATGATAATGAGAACTCTCTCTATATAATATTTCATAGAGATATGACTCTTTTGAAGTGATCTTGACAAACATACCACTGAGCTGAGGTCCACGTTCAGCATGCGTCTGTTGTCCCATTTGACCGGCCTCAGACCAGCTACACTCAGCTGAACTGAAGAAGTTCTGTACAGGAACTGCAGCAGCCAGTCTCCTCTGGGAAAAACATGCAGGACAAACAGTTTAAAAACTAAGGCCATACCAAGTTAATTTGTTGGTTCACGGATTCGCCCGCTTCATTTTTTTGGATTTGCGAAAAAAAAAAACATTTCAGCCTCTGAATCAGCTCAAAAATGCTCATATATTGGTCCCAACAGTTTAAGAAGGTCCCTACTCTTCAGAGTTACAGTTTTTCCATCTATCAATGCAGTGGTTTAAAAAATTAAAGGTTTGAAATTTAACATTTAAATTACAAACTAGCCTGGTATGTTGACTTCATGGCTCTATCATGCCATTTGGGGCTATCATATAGGATGCCTTGGTATGTTTTTACTTTTATTTTTTGTTCGCCCTGTCGCTTCATATGTTTTCTGAAAAAATCATAGAACCAACAAATCAAATTGGTGTGGCCTAACCATGCAGCAGCCAGTCTCCTCTGCGCAAAAGAAACCGTAGAGTAAACTGTTTAAAACCGTAGCAACTACAAGGCTTCAGAATTGGCTGGAAAGAGTAGAAATTGGCCAAATACACAGATAACATGCCAGAGAAGTCTGTCACAGGAGTTCTGTTGCCTTCATCGGGATAAACTTGAGGCTGGAAGTGCCTACCTGCCTACCTGCCTATTAAATGCTTAGGCCAGAACTGGCCCCTTGCTCCTCTTCTGCTGGAAGTGATTGGTGATTAATTATCCTGATGCAAGCTACATCTTGTGAACCCCTTTGTGTTGGAATTAAGTTTAGCATAGCACTTTAATTAATACCAGGTCCAAGTGAACACAGCTGCAGTACACTGGTATGCCTGCCAGTGATCATATACAGTATTCAACAATTCAACTGATACGTCGATGAAGGTTAGACATTCGGGTAATAAGATATGCCAAGAATCAGTTACTCAAGCAACTGGATATGATTTTGGAAACGGTCAGACATTTCAGGTAGTATCCAGTACCTTTCATCAGTGACACTAAGAGACCAGAGGAGACTCTGATTTAACTGACTTCTCCTCTCGTCTCTTAGTGTCAGAGACAAAAGGTACTGGATGCTACCTGAAACGTCTGATCATTTCCAATATCATATCCAGTTGCTTAAGTAACTGTTTTTTGGCGTAATATAACTAGCTATAGGATGTTATCACAGTCAATACCTACCTACAGTACCCGTTGATGATCCTACCAGAGACCAGTCTGTCCATAGGCATCCAGTTCTCAGGCTTTCCATTGATAGGTGCACCCAGAAGGACCACATCCTCTATGATACCCTCACAATCTGGGAAAATTCAAAGTAGGAAATGTTTCTCAATGTTTCTCAAAGAAGTTACATAATACATGTACATGTTCTACATTGTGTACATGTTGCACATTGTATCTGTCAGTTTTATTACCTCCATGAAAAATGGAGGTATTGTTTATGGCGTGTCTGTGTGTCTGTGTGTGTGTGTGTGTGTGTGTGTGTTTGTGTTTCCGGACATTTGTAGTCAGCATAACTTCAGAGCATGTATAAAAAATGTGTAAGTTACTTAAAGATTAACATCACTATGCATATATAATGTTAATGTAGAGGCCATTTGCATAATTAATGAGGACATGTCATTTACAAAAACTCATATTTCATAGAGGTATGAGGTCTACGAATTCTTGTTATGAATTAGCTTTGACAGGCTGGTGAGTGAGCTATCGTTAGGTACCAAAGTCTCTATTACCCAAGCATTTAAAGTAACTTTTGAATTCAAACATATAGCATTATAATATATTTGAGTTCAAACATGGTACTTTTTATGTTTAAAGTTAAAACTTTTGGTCCAACACAAAGAGATCTCTCACCTAGAGCTTTCGACCAGTCACTCTGGTCTTCCTCAGTAGACTGACCCAGTGAAGCTTGTCACGTGGCTTCTTTGAAGTGTGACGTCAACACTGGGTCAAAGGTATCTGGTAGACGGACATTTTGTTTCACTTGACACTGTAAGGATTTTAGACACTGAACAAGACTATTTCTTGAGAGGGGTGAAGGAAGCCATATACATCAGGGCCCATCACCCTTCATTGAACTGCGACAGGGGCCGACATCGTCTACCAGATACCT